ACCAAACGTTTCATGTATGTTTGTGTGTGTATTTTGTTGGCTCACCGAAACCGTATTGAACTCAATCAATATTTGAAAAATACGTTACTGTAAACAAAATGTCAATGTTTGGTTTTAAGTGGTGGCACGAAACGATGTCTTCGGCAAACATAACCATTATAAAGTTTATGGATATTCTTATAAAATGTAAGTGTGGCAAAAATGTTAAGGTAAACCCTGAAGTTTAAACCGTTAAACGTTCTCTCAATTGACTATTGTAAACACATGGTTTTATAGCTTCCATATTTTGTAAGTTTACATTAGCCTCTTAAGTATTTGCAAAATTCAATAATAAACGAGGTATGACCAAAGTAAGGAAATATATGAAAAACAAAGATTTGAAACTCCGTAAAAACGTGAAAAACTCAATAATAAAGAAGTTATGGCCAGAATAATATAATGAAATGTTCATTAATGTAAACAGAGGATTTAAGCAATTTCATTCCTAAGAATATCGCCCATGTAAACTTTCAATAATGAATTTACTTATTTTAGACCTATTTCCGATTTCTTAGTTTTTATAACCTACATCACATCCTGTCTTATGTCTTATATGTCTTTGTGCATTTATTTATAACATGGAGAAGGAAGCGAGATAGACCTAAATTTACTTTTGAGTATCTTTAGGATCACTTTCTGAGTCAATTTATGCACGTCAGTCCGTCTGTCCGTCCGTCCATGTATTCTGGTTAACAAAATGTAGTTCTTATTTATTATCCGATTGAGATGAAATTTTCGAAAAAATATTTATTTGGCACAAGGATGGACCCTATTGAAACTGGTGATAATCAGTACAAATTTTGATATAGCTCCCATATATATCTTCAGCCGATTTCGGGTTAATTGTGCACCAAATGCCCAACATCAGTCCAAATGACCTAATTTTTGGCACATCTGACTTACTTCAGTCTACAAGCAAGGGCATCAAATTTGGTGAAAATCGGTTCGATATAGCTATAGCTCCCACATATATGTTTCATCCGATTTGGGGCCTCACATTCGTAATATAAACTCTACAAGAATGAAATTTGGTGCCAGATATCAGTAACATCCCAGAAATACATCTGTCAAATTTTATGGATATCGGATCATATATTTATCATATTTGGATATAGCTCCCATATATATTTTTATCGGATTTTAGGTTTATTGTGCCCAAATGGCTCATATCAGCCTAAATAAAGTGTATTTTGGCAATTCCGACTGAATTCAGCCCAAAAACAAGTACTTCAAATTTTGGTTAAAATCGGTCCAAATATCGCGATAGCATCTATATATGTGTTTCATCAGATTTACTGTTAAAACCTCTTACATGCGTAATGTTTGATGATGTTTGATACCGAACAACAACTACAGCTCATAAATGCCTAAAATTTGATCAAGATAGGTTCAGATTTGGATATAGCTACCATATATATTTTTATCCCATTTCATGTTTATTGTGCACCAAATGGCTAATATCAGGCCAAATTGAATGAATTTTGGCGCTTACGACGGAATTCAGCCAAGACACAAGTACTTCAAATTTGCTGAATATAGGTTCAGATATAGCTATAGCCCCCATATATACAGGGTGAGATAAAGAAACAAAGTCAAAAGCCATAATTTTTACAATTTTTTTTTAAATTTTATTGAATGAATGCAAAAAATGTCCGAAATAGCATAACATTTCAGAATAAGTTTAGATTTGTTCGAATTAGTCACCTTCTGCACAAATTATGGCCTTCAAACAGCCAATGAAACCGTCACATGCTGCCCGAATGTTGCTCTGCGGTATTTTGGCCCATTCCCAGAGAAGTGCTTGCTTGATATGATCGACACTTTGGTGCCAACCTTGCTTTTCAAAATACTCCAGACACAATAGTCCAACGGATTGGTATCCGGAGATTTTGGTGGCCATTGTGCGCTGCAAATGAAGCGAGGAATCTTATTTTGCAACCATTCTTGGGTGGCGCGAGCTGAGTGCGATAGTGCTGAGTCCTCTTGGAATGTCCAAGGTCTTCGGCCAAAATGTTTGCGTGCTCAAGGCTTTAATACACCCTGCAGAATGTTTTCGCGATAATATTCGGCATTTATTCTGATGTCACGGTCGATTAATACGAGCGGAGAGCGACCATTGGCTGTTATGGCAACCCACACCATCACCATGGCCAGCGCTTGAGTTCTGGTGGCGAACCGAAGGTGCACATTTTTAGCTGACCTCTTTGGCAAGTAAACACGATCATTTTGTTTGGTTACAAACTGCTCTACAACGAATGTTTTTCCCATCGGAGACGGAGAAAACCAAATTCGGCAGTTCACCACTTTCGGCCAAGCGAAGCAACTCTTTAGCTCTTTACAGTCTATTTTCTCCCTGATGTGGTGTATGTTCTTGCACTTTTTGGAATTTGCAATGGAATGCCTTTACCCCGAGCTCATTTTTCACAATTTGCCGATTGGAATATTGCGATATGCTCAGCCCATTTCTTGGCCACTGCGACGCGGGTTTCGATCAAGTCGCTTCTTTACTTTTCGAACCATTTCTGCTGATGTTGCTGATTTCTTCACGCCACTTCCTTGACGTCGGGCTACGCTGCCAGTATCACGGTACCGAGCAATGGTACGAGACACAAAAGATTTATTCACATTTAAATGCTGGAGTGCTCTAACGATAGCCACTTGTTGTTTTCAGGCCAAATATAAAGAACACACTTGAATTCCATCACGAATGACTATTTTTCTGGAAAATTCTCACCCATATGCTTTTGTATTGAGCTGTCACTGGAATAATCTTAACAGCTGTCGGACGAGTGGCTTGGAAATGACAGCAGTCTGAAGTTGGTTGCAGTTTTTTTCATCTCACCCTGTAGTTCCCAAATTTTGACTACTCTAAAGCCATGATAAGGAATCCAAAAAGGTTTATAGTTGGAATTTGAATTTTTTTACAGGAGCTCCACAAAATTCTCATTGACTATTCTACAAGACTCGACCTTTCCTTACCGGTTAAACCTATAATTGTTAGATATTTACTATGATACCAAAGGAAGACATTATTTCAAAATTATGTGTGGGGCAATGACACATAGACATCGAAGAAGAATAACTTTGGAACCAGTTTTGATTTCAGACGTTTCGTTTTTTTTTTATTATTTCACAAAACTAGTAATACGCATGCTTTCATTGAACTACAATTTATCAAAACATTTATCAAATCATCAAATAAAATTTGTCATACATATATACATATACAAAGGCTTACATTCCACAAAACATTAATAGCTCCATAAACATTTGGCAACAACAACAATACAACATCAAATAATTATAATAATTAAATGTGTTAATGACCTTTTCCCTTAAAGCGTCTAGAAGCCAAGACAAGAGTATCGAAAATGGCTAGTCTTACTTTAGCAGACATCAGAAAATATATTTCGACCAGATTACTGCAAAAGATGTCAATATCAGATGGCGATCGATCGACTGGCCACCAAAATCATTTAAAGTTGAGCACAGTGTGAAGTTACCAACTAAATAATTGAAAACTACTTTTGAATACCGAATTAGTTTTGACTGAAATTCATTGGCATACAATAAATGCTGCAATTATCCATCAATCAATCTTCTTTTGATGGGTTTTGAAGTGAGAATTCTTTGGAGTGCCACTAGAACGCGTCGTCGTAGTCGTCACATAATCTGACCAAACCCATAAAAATGTTTATAATTAATAATAAATATCAGGTATCGAGTATTTTTAACGTCACCATTATTATTTCAGTGTTTTAATTTTTTTGTTTGATTTGTGGGTTTTGTTTTTTGGCAGAAAATTTCAATGTTGGTGTGTCTTTTTGTACCCTCCTCATACATTGTATGGAGGGTATATTAAGTTTGTCATTCCGTTTGTAACTCATCGAATGTGTAAATAGGTCTCCGGTTGCATATAGCCCTCATATTAAATTACCACCAGATCTTCAAATAGGAAATTTGATACAATTCCGGCGAATAATGTCGTTATTCGGTATTTTCATGATTTTGGTTAATGTTGTATGTATCTGTCTTCCCCTGGCCGAAAATTGCATATATAGCTGCAAGTATTACATTATCTCTAAATAATGGTACCCCCTAGATTAATTTACAAGAACTATTAGAAGCGTAGATTTTTAAAGATTATTTTTCAAGGAGTATTAGAAGCGTAGATTTTTTAAAGATTATTTTTCAAGGACTATTAGAAGCGTAGATTTTTTTAAAGATTATTTTTTAAGGACTACAATAGGCTTGGATTTTTTAAGATTATTTTTCAGGGACAACAATAGGCGTGGATTTTTAAGATTATTTTTCAAGGACTACAATAGGCGTGGATTTTTTAAGATTATTTTTCAAGGACAACAATAGGCTTGGATTTTTTAAGATTATTTTTCAAAGATGCATTTTTTAAAGATTATTTTTCAAAGAAGCATTTTTTAAAGATTATTTTTCAAAGAAGCATTTTTTAAAGATTATTTTTCCAGGACTACTATAGGCGTGGATTTTTTAAGATTATTTTTCCAGGACTACTATAGGCGTGGATTTTTTAAGATTATTTTTCAAAGAAGCATTTTTTAAACATTATTTTTCAAGGACTATTAGAAGCGTAGATTTTTTAAAGATTATTTTTCAAGGACTATTAGAAGCGTAGGTTTTTTCCAAGATATTTCATATCTTACAAAAAATATATAGAAAATGTAACAAAAACAATTTAAACAAATTTATTTCTTAGTTTCAAAATTTTTTATTTATTAAAAAAATATTATTTATATAGAAAGCAGCACAAACAACAAAAATGACACAATATTCACTTTTCGATTGTCCCTTTAAAGGGAAACAAAGAGATATTGTCTCAATAAAAAATATTAAAACAATAATTGGATAGTCTTTAAAATAGTACGATAAAAATTTAACTGAAATCAATATGCATGTATATACTTAATAACCAATAGTTTTTATAGATATTATGAATGAAATAAAAAACGACGACAAATGTTAGACATTGGTTTATCCCAAATAATAACAATACTTATGCAAATAAACTAAACATTTTTTTTATTAAAGTATTAAAGTTAGAAATAGTGACCATGCAGACCATGATAGCCGTAATAACCTCCGTAGTATGGGTATCCTGAAAAGAGATAATAAATATATATTAACGAAATTATATAACATAAGCCCTAGTATTCGGATGTGCTTCGTTTGAAGAATATTGGATATCGATTTCTGTCATAAGTCTTATCTACATTTAACGTTGTGCTAGGTTTAAAATATCGGGTACTCCTATTGCTCATTTGAGATATATTTTTTGAAATAGAAATGGATTGAAACTGTCCATCTCTGGACACGATCTAAGTTTTCTTAAAATATTATGTTTGGATAAAATCGGCTGTGCTGGGCTTGGCTAGACCGACTTCAAATGCTCAATGGTGCAATGGTTTGTTGACAGATTTGACTTTCAGAATTCGAAAAATTTTGGAGAAATTACATGAAATTGACTTTTTTGAAATTTTACAATTTAAGAGAGAGATAGAGAGAGAGAGAGAAAGAGGGAGGGAGGGAACATATTCTTTGTTTTATAGAATATGATTCTAATTTAAACTTAACATAAATAAAAAAAAAACAAGTTGAAAATATCAGTCGGTTTTGCCGACAGATGTATACCACCAGACAATGTTCGATTATTTAAATTTATACTGACTTCTGTTAAGATTATTCAAACTGTTAACTATGTAAGACGAAGGTTTCGAAGGGATTGGCCAAAATTGTCCATTTTGTATCGGACATAAATAAATATGATATAAATATTGCGACGTACCAGGTTTGGACTATATCGACTAATTCCTTCATTTTTTATGAGATATGTGACAATTTTTAGAAAATGTTACAATGCGTTACAATGTGTGTGATTAAAAATATTGGTATGGGCAAAATGACAAGAAAATCGAACATTTATTTCAAATTTTAAGCGAAAACATAAATTCCATATTCATCTCAGATTTCTGGTTGAGAGAAATATTTAGATATAGCAAGTTGTAAAGCATCGCTGACTTGTTTCGCAAGTTATGACAGATAAATGTACTGAAAATTATGACCACTTTTGCGTAAGTTAGCAAAACTTTTGCGTGTGTTGGCAAAAATGTTTGTATGTTTGGAATTTGAAGAGAGTTGGATTCGCTTTCATTGAGGGTTTAGTTTTTTTAAATCTTGAACACTATGTGGGCGAGAACCACCAGAAGAAATGGTCCGATCTCTACCGTTTTTATAACAGATCTTGTGTTGAAGGAAATTTTGCCAAGTCTGAATGGAATCGCATGTTAATTTTGCATTTTATGAGCTTCATGGATATTGACAGTTTTCTTAGCAGATCTTGTGTGAGTAGAAGTAATGGAATGTGTGAGATATGAAGAGAACCGGATGCTTATTTCGGATTTTATAATCGTGTTTCTTATTCAAAATTTTGACTCTTTGTGGGGCAGGTGCCAGAAGAAGTGGACGACATATTCCATCTTCACACCACACCTTGAATTAATAAAAATGTTGTGATGTGTGTAATTTGAAGACAATCGGACTATTACATTACATTTTATAAGAGTTATAATCATTCAATATTTTGGCCCTTTGTGGGGAGGTACTGGATGGAGTGGTACTGCCCATTTTGGCACCTAATATAGAAGTAAATTATTTTCTTGATTGAAAATGTTGACATTTTGTGAGAGAGGTCCAGAAGTCGACCGATATTGCCTATCTGAAAACTCAATCTAAGTTTGACAATAATATTACGATGTACCAAGTATGGATCAAATCAGGTACTTTCTTCAAGAGTTGTCGTGCTCACCAGATGTCCTGAAACGGATTTGATCGAAAGAGATCTAAGACCGTTATTTCGATGAGGCACGTATTGGCCGTATGAAATGATATAAGAGTAAGTAACAGTGAGTAAATATTAAAGGTCAGGCCGGGCCGACTATATGATATCCTTAGTGGTTTAGGGTTTTGTACAATATTAAAAATACTTTTTGGAGCAATAGATATACCGGACCGAATTTCACCTAATCGAAAAATGTGTTGAATACGAAAAAATCTACCCAAGTTGGGCTGTTATTAAATAAATAGTGAAGAATAACCTAAAATCGGATGAAGATGTATATCGAATATAAAATGTATATAAAAATCTGGACCGATCTCGATAAAATTTGCCAGAGGTATTTCCGAGCTTTATCTGATGTCCTGTATTAAATATAAGTTTTGTAGGGTGCATATTATCCATGTGAGGGAGTTTAAGCCCAAAACGAATGAAACATATATGTGGGAGCTTAAGCTATATCTCAACCGATTTTCATGTACTTGCTACTAGACCAAATTCGGTCGGATGTGCCAAAATTCAGGTCATTTGGACTGGTAATTGGACATTTTATGCACAATTAACACGAAATCGGTTGAAGATATATATGGGAAATATACCTAAATTTGAACCGATTCTCACCAATTTCCATAGAGTTTTTTCCTTCAAATATTGTTTGGAAAATTTCATCTAAATCAGAAAATAAATGCTACCTGCATTTTGTTCACAAAAATGAATGGACAGACGGACTGACAAACTAAACAGGCTCAGAAAGTGATTCTGTGAACCCATATTTAACGGCTTCATCCACTTGAACTGGATTCTCCAACCGATCTCACTGGTATTTGCAGATTAAAGTGGACCATGTTTAAATTCAGATATTTTTTATTTAAAATCCTTTCTTTATCTAATAGTAAAGGGTATTTACAGTTCGGCCCGTCCGCACTTAATATTTTTTTATACATTTTAGTATTAAATATAAATTAAAGGAGCCAATAAAATTTCGCACAAATAACTACTAAATATCGTGTACGCAGACACACTTATTGCTTACAAGTTTGCCTATACTAAATACAAATCGTAAAAAGGGCTCGCATTTTAATGAAATTGTTCAGATGGAACTTTTTAAATACACTGGGAACACATCAGTTTTTACTCACCTAGGCCATAATATCCGCCTATACCATAAGGATAACCAATGCCATATCCACCGTATCCACCATAATGACCGCCATAATGGCCACCATACAGATAGGGCGATGAATAATATCCAAAACCATATGACGAGGAGCCCTCTAGGTCATCCTTCTCAATAGCGGCTGCAGCACCTGTCTCTAAATCTTCCGCCTCCACGGCTGCATTCTGTGGCTTTGGTGCGGCCGATACCAACGTATGGCGGGTGGAGAGCAACAGGCACAATACGATGAGATTGAAAACAAACAAAAACTTTGACATTTTTCAAATGAATTAAGCGGCGATTTACACAAAGAACTAAAACGGCTAAGGAAGTACTGATGAGATTCAAAAATTCCTCTTCTTTAGTTGGTTTTTATTTCGTTTAGATCGGCGTTTTGTGTTTTGGCTTTTTGTGAATGCCACATTAAACACTGGACAATTACAACTGACACTTGAAGCAACAATGCAATGAGTTTTTATATAAACGGTCATTTGCCGTCTTGGGGTTCTATTGTTCAAACATTCTGGAAAAAAAAGTAGTTTTTCTAAATTGCAGAGACATGTACACACCAACACACACACACGCAATAAGCCAATTTTTTACAAATGGGAACTATTCCGTCTGTCTTTATTTATTCTTTTCATTTGTTTCAATGTTGCGATTTCACGAAAAAAAAAACAGCACACACACACACAAATCCACACTCATTAAAAGTTCTTAAATAGAAATTAAAGATAAACAATAAATAGAAATACCAAACGACAGCAACAACAAATGCCCTTTGGAAAAAAGTCTAAAACTTTGCTGATTATTTGGACTTCAAGGTTTGTAAACAAACGAAAAAACGTCGCTTCTAAGTACACTTGACGTTTGGAATAATGGCTAAAGAGCTTTAAACTGTTAGATGGTGATGTTGTTGTTGCAGCTGCTGTATCTAACTGGTGCTGAGGCTGACTAAGAAGGCGTGTGCCAACCAATTGTTCTCCCGTCAATGTTACGCGCCATTGTCCACTTGTGAGCTTGGGAAACTCATGCTGGCGTATTTTGTCAATCGCATTGCGTGGAAAATGCCCCATTGATTTTTCTTTTTTTTTGTGAAGAAGGCGAGGAGTTTCCACTTCTTTACACGGTCGTTAACAAGAATCGTGTGCATGTTTTTAAATTAGTTGAGAAATTTTGAATGTTTGTATATAAAATTAAGAAAAACTACCGCCAATGTGTAGATATGTCACTGTGTTGAGTAGTAATGCATTTTTCGTGTGAGGTATATTCGGTGGAGGAAAAAACTAATTAAAAGTAAATGGGGCTGAATCAAACTGGGCAAATTTATTAGTGCTAGGTCGGGTGTGAAAATAGACATCAAATACCCTCCCCACAAAGGGTCAAACTTTGATTCTAGCAACATTTTCTAAGAGAATTACTTAAAATTCGGTGTTTGGATTTTGTAAAGTGTTATCACTCATGTAGCAGAACATTTTCTATTTAGGTGGACGTTTTTCTTAGTTAGTTTTGAAATGGTGGAGTGTATAAAAATCAAAAGACTAAAGACACAAACATTTTCCAATAATGCTATGGGGGAGGGTGTAAAAATACCATTTCTGGTACCAAAAAATAGTACCAGAAATGGTATTTTTACACCCTCCCCCATAGCAAGGAGGAGTTTGTCATTCCATTTGTAACACCTCGTAATGTACATCTTAGGTGCTGCAAATTTTACATATTCTTGATCAGCATAAAATTCGATTCCATTTAACGAGACCGTCCGTCTGTCCGTCTGTGGAAATCTCTTTAGCTTCCGAAAGAATTGAAGTTGGTTATTAAAATTATAATCAAGTGTGTATTCGGTCTGCCGGACATTTGTTGAAGCCCCCATATAACGGTACCTCCCACTATTGGGTATTTGAATTGGAATTGTTTCAATTTTCGTATTTGAACTTCGTAATGAGTACTATAGTGTGAGAGAAAAATGCGTTTTCAGGTCCACGTCTTCATATAACCCCATATAACGGTACCTCCACAAACTCGGTATTTCGATGATTTTGCGACATTATTTACAATTTTATTTTATTTTTTATTATAATTTTTATTATATTTTTTTTGAAAATAATGGAGGTATTCAATGTTCGGCACGGCCTCAGCTTTATGACTACAGAAGGTAAATATCATTTGATATGACTAAAACGTGCTTCGTCAAAATTACGATTTTAGACCCTCGGTCTCTTTGGACCAAATCCCTTTCAGGACATTTGGAGTCGATCTAGCGATGCCCGTCCGTCCGTCTGTCTGGCTGGTGAGCACGATAACTCTCAAAGGGAGTATCCAATTTGGTCAAAACTTGGTACAACGTAATATTTTTGTCAAACTTAGATCGGGCTCGGAGATGGGCAAAATTGCTCCACACCTTCTGGTACCTCCCCCACAAAATATCAATATTTTGAACGAAAATAATTTACTGCACACAAGAAGATGGAGTGCCAGGTCAAGTGCGAAAATGGTTCATATCGGTCCACTCCATCAAGTACCTCCCCACAAAGGGTTATATCGGTTAGCTCCTTCTGGTACCTCCCCCACTAAAAGCCAAAATTTTGAATATCTCATAAAACCCGAAATGTACATCCGATTCCATTCAGACTTGGAATATTTCCATCGGACAATTCCACACAAAGGGCAAAGTTTTGATTAACCAAAACGATCATTAAATCCGAAATAGGAATCTGGTTCTCTTCAAATTACACACAAAACAATGCTACCTCTTCCCACAATAGGATCAAAATTTTGAATATCCATGAAGCTTATAAAACACGAAATTAATATACTATTCCATTCAGTTAAATAGATGGTAGAGATCGGACCACTTCTTCTGGTACCTCCTCCACACAGGGTTGAAAATGTTGAAAAACAAAGCACTCAAGGAAAGCGAAATAAGCATCCAAATTTCTTCAAATCTCACACATCCAAATATTTTTGCTAACGCAGGATCTGTTGTGAGGATGATATATATCTGCCAACCCGTTCTGGTACCTCAACCACAAAGAGCCGCAATTTCCAATACTTGTATCTGTCATAACTTTAGAAACAAGGCAGTGATTCTTTACAACTAAATATTTCGGAGATGAATATGGAATTTATGTTTTCGCATAAAATTGGAAATAAATGCTATTTTGTTCATACTAGTATTTTTATCTGTATTAGGTGATGTATGAAAAAAATATTTCGGTGGACTGTACCAGGTATAGGTACATTTTCACATTTTCTAAAAATGATCGCATACCTCATATCAAGTGAAGGAAGTAACCAATATTTGGACTATACTGGACCTGGCACGTCACAATATTTATATAATATTTATTTAATTGGAATAATCATTACAGAAGTCAAAATATATTCAAATAATTGAACATTGTCGGCAAAACCGATTGATAATTTTTAACTTGTTCTTTTTTTGTTGTTGTATCGATTTTAAAAATTAATAAAATAACATTAATATTTTATTTATACCTCTCAATTCCATACCAGCCTCGTTTAAATTATAATGTGTGAATAATTGTGTTCTTTTTGCTTCAAGCATGAATAGTTTCAAATTATAATGCACCAGAATAATAATAACATTGCTTGGTACAGCCTGTAATTTTAGTTTTTTTTTTTGTCTTCGTTGCTACGTAATTAGTTTTCTTGGAGGCCAATGTCAAAGTGGTTTTACATGAGAATCTCCCTCGGGTACTACAATAAAAGCTAATTTATATAAATTTAACTGGCATTCAGCGAGAGACCTGACAGTAGAAAGAACTCAAGGGGTGCATATTATTGATAATAACATTACCAAGGGCTGGAAGTATTGTTTTTGCTCGTAAGCTCTTTACATTTTATCATTTATTTTTATATCCTACACCACATAGTGGTAAGGGTATTACGGCTTTGTGAATTTGTTTGTAACATGGAGAAGGAAGCGAGATAGACCCATAGTTACTTTTGAGGATCTTTATAGAATCACTTTCTGAGCCGATATATGCATGTCAGTCCGTCTGTATCTCTGTCCATGCATTTTTTGTAAACAAAATGCAGGTCGAATTTGTTATCCGATTGAGATGAAATTATCCAAAACAATATTTGTTTGACCCAAGGACGAACCTTATTAAAATTGGTGAGAATGGGTTTAAATTGAGATATAGTTCCTATATATATCTTCAACTGATTTCGGGTTAATTGTGACCAAATTACCAATATCAGGTGCACTTTCGACGGAATTCAGCCTAAAATCATGTGTTACGAATTTGGTAAAATTCGGTCCAGATTTAGCTATAGCTCCCATATATATAACTGCCTAAAATTTAAATAATATTTACCCGATTTCAGGCTTATTGTGCACCAAATGGCTAATATCAGCCCAAATGAATTGAATCTTGGCAATTTAGACAGAATTCATCTTAGAAACCAGTACTTTAAATTTGATGAAAATCGCTTCAGAAATAGATTTAGCTCCCACTTATATGTTTCCCCCCATTTGGGGTTTTGGGTCTCTCACATGCGTAATATGCACTACACAAAAATTATTTTTGGTACCAGACATCAGATACAGTGCAGAAATAAGTCTATAATTTTTTTTCAAAAAATCGGTTCAGATTTGAATATAGCTCCCATATATCTTTATCTGATTTTAGGTTTGTTGTGCACCAAATGGCTAATATCAGCCCAAATGAACTGAATTTTTGCACTTCCGATGGAATTCAGTGCATATTTTTGTGAAAATCGGTTCAGATAAAGCAATAGCTCCTATATATACGTTCCATCCGATTTAAATTTAAAGTCCCTCACATGCGTAATTTGCAATCCACAACAATGATATTTGATACCAGTTATCAGCTACAGCTCGAAAATACCTCAGCCAAATTTTATTGCGATTGGTTCAGATTTGTATATAGCTTCGATATTCATCTTCTCCATATTTTAAGGTTATTGCTCACTATATATGTACAGGGTGAGATAAAAAACCGAAACAAAGTCAAACTCAATAACTTTTACATTTTTTTTTTTTTTTGTAGATTTTATTGAATGAAAGCAAACAAATTCGGAAATAGCATCAAATTTTAGAATAAGTTCAGACTTGTTCGAATTGGTCACCTTTGGCACGAATTCTGGCCTTCAAGCGACCTATGAAACAACGAATGTTTTCTCATCGGAGACGGAAGAAACCAAATTCGGCAGTTCACCACTTTCGGCTAAACGAAGCAACTCTTTAGCTATCTAGTCTATTTTCTTTCTCTTGCAGTGTAAGTTCTTGCACTTTTTTGGAATTTCAATGGCTTTACCCCGAGCCCATTTTTCAATATTTGCCGAATGGGTTATTGCGATGTGTTCAGCTCACGAGCCATTTTTCGGCCACTGCGATGCGGGTTTCGATCAAGTCGCTTCTTTACTCTTCGAACCATTTCTGCTGATGTTGCTGTTTTCTTCCATCCATTTCCTTGACGTCGCGCTACCCTATAAGTTTCTTGGTAACGAGCGATGGTACGAGACACAAAAGATGTATTCACATTTCAATGCTGGAGTGCTCTAGTGATAGCCATTTGTGGTTTTTCAGCCAAATATAAAGAAATAACACTATCACGGTTGAATTCCATCACGAATAACTTTTTTTCTTGAAAATTCTCACGAAAATGCTTTTGTATGCTTGCAAACAATATAATGAGCTGTCACTGAAATAATTTTAACAGCTGTCGGACGAGTGGCTTAGAAATGATAGCAGTTTGAAGTTGGTTGCAGTTTTTTCATCTCACCCTGTATATTGCTCCAAAAAATGTTTTTTAATATAATTATTATCGAAGCCATATCGTGCCCAATTTATTCGGTTTTGAGTTTGTTTAAAATCGATGCAGGGTTGGATATAATTCCCAAATTAAGACTACTCAAAGCCCATGATACGCATTCAAATGCGGTT